CAGTATCGAATTATCGCCTCCTGATCGAAACCTACATTTGTCTCCCGATCTGGAGAATTCATTTGGAGTGGCAGGTTGTCTGGCTAGCGTCTATGTATTTCTAATTTGGTTAGGCAGTGGCGGATCCAGAGGGGGGGGGGGGGGGGCAGGGGGGGGGGGTGCTGGATCCGCCACTGAGGTTAGGTAATACCGTGTAGTAGCTGAACGTCCTGTCAGGTACACGTCTCAGCAGGAAGTTTTGCATGCATTCGTTCACAAATCGATATAGAGCGTATTTTCAATCATATTAAATAAACATCCCTTTCAGATTAGAACCAAGGCAATATGTCCTCCCGCTTGATTAAAATTGAACGAGCTACCTATCAAGTCAACGCTAATCATTCGAGACATAAGCTTGGAGGTAAGCTTAGGTATGTATAAATTGGTCAGCATTTTTAACACTAATGTAATCCACGGGGGTCGATTACTCCTAATTCTCCTTTCGTACGACTGGTGCACCCCAAATGTGTTTTGGACGCCACGTCCTGTAAAAGGTCGTTGAACTTATTTTTATTCTTACGCTTATGTCGCAGCCTGTGGCAACTGGTCAGAACTGGTTTGAGGGTATCTAAGTAGCACTTTAGCTTGTTTTGTTTGCTTGTTTGCTTTTAATATAACATCTGGTTATCATCGACAGCCTTGCCCCCCAACGCTATTCAGTGAGAAAATAATGTGACGACATCATTGTTGTAGGGAAATAATTTTATGTGAATGGCGCCTTTAAATATTATTATATATTAATTTGATACGTTTTCTGTGAAAATGTTACAGTGCTCGGGACATTCGGTACGTATTTTCTATGGAAACCTCAACCCCCGCATTGTTTTTAGGAAGTTGGGTTACTATGAATCACGTTTTCTGAAATGACATTTTGATCGTGTTTTTTTTGTCTGAAAGGCGGTTGATTGCAACGATTATATAAGTACACTCATTCAGCAGAGCAAAATCAGACAGAACGGAAACTCTTCCAATCAGCAATCTCGAATAAAGCTATATTTTATTGAATTAACTAGCTTGTTATCTTGCGCTCTGCGCCATTGACACTGTTCAGTCACTCCATTGACGGGTGCCAGTCACGTTGATGGTTGAAACTACTACTAGTACAGTCAACGTAGTCTAGCGTCATTGCACCCGGGCGCTTTACAGTCTGGCTCTATCTATTTTTACTGAAGCCGAAAACTGATTGATAAATTTCGGAGTTAAGAAATATTGAGACAGACGTCACTCTGAGACATATATGCGCGGGAGTGTCACAAACCTTTATATTAACCAAACTTTCAAAAATATGTTCCATTCAAGGCATAAATCCTAGCACGATACACAATATAACATCAATGAGATTTGTATCAATGTTTTTATTGTAAACACAATCGAGTCCCAATAATCATTTTTTAATTACTGTCAATGTGGCGTCAACTACAGTAATTAATTTTTATGAATCGGTCCAACTGAGTTGATTGTCCAAACTGCATAACACAAAACAAATATTATTATTTAATTAAATTAAATTAAATACAACCAAATACGACTATGGCATTGAAACGTACATTAACTTGTTAACTTACATCCACCAAAATAATTGCGTATTAGAATGTTGGCACTTTTTAAAATCCTGAATTTGAAATTTCAATTTCTTTGTTAAATAAAATACGACCATCATGGCTTTTAATCACATTCTCTCCAACAAATTCCGCGTATATAATTATTTAGACATGTCTCTGCGTTAAGACATTGCGCAGGTGCAGTGTGATAATCTCAGTTGCTTGTGAGTCACCGACCGTACTGTTGATCAATGATTATTTTGTCTACAAAGTGAATAATCTAACGTCTACTTGCAGCCTCTTGACATCAATCGCTAATATACACAATAAAGAGAATCCGGCCGTGTAGTCAACATTTACGTGATTACAATGGAAATATAATTAATGTCAGGATTTCTACCGTCAAACTTTTGGTGCAAAATAAATGTAATTTTCTGTTAATTTTGAACCAAAAAACCGTAGTTTTCATTTGGCTACAAGTATTGATAATAAATTTGGGGAAATGGGAAAGATTTATTTTGTGAAAGGTGAAAATTTTTTTGGCATTTTAACAATATACGTAGTCGTTCAACCTAACATGGCCGACGAGTTCTCGTAGAGCGCAGGGAGCCCCGAAACTTGTTTTTGCAACTCAAACAGTGTTATATTCTCTTCCATGACATCGGTCCACGGTGACATAGGTCAAGGAACCAGTGAACGCGAAGACGCAAGTGGTTAAATCACTATTCGAGAACTAATCTTAAAACTCTCTCGGTCTCCACGAGATCTCGGCGGCCATTTCCGTCTTAAGTCTATTCAAATTATTCACTAGGCGATGCAGGAGTAAAAGGATATTCATTCAACGGAAAACGATAGAAAAATTGTTTAAATGGATCTGGAGAGACAATTAGTATGTTCTACGTAGATCCTACATGTAAGTACAGAAATTGTATGTCGAGGTACCCAGAGCAGTGTTTTTAACAACCAATTATAATAATACTGTCTGGATCCAACTTCGTACATAATGTTGACATTCTCCATCAGAATCGGAGCTAAACTTGTTTTTATATGTTTACATAACAGAATGAGAAAATACTGCCACATTTTCACCTTATTACCAAAGGTGGTCGACGAGATATGTCACATAATTATACAATTTACTAGAGTGCGTTGAGGTTAAAACCGCGACTGAATACAGAGCCGGGCATGTGTACACCGTGCTTCCGGCTAATTACGCCGTGGGAGCTATTGCTGCAAACGCGTTTTACTGATTACGGGAAAACAGTGTCATGATTTATGTATTTATCTTCGGGAAGTACTATCCTGGAAAAAATATTATAGGTATGTGCCCTTCGTACCTTCAGTCCCCTCTACCCCCTCTCTCGACAGGCAAATGGAAAAATACACAATCGTGTTACAACTTGGTGCGAAAACTTATACCACGTCACAGATGTGGTTCCCTTTCGATATTGATTAATTGTGTGGGTCTTTTCCCGCAAATAGTTTGAAGTATTATTCTTAAACAGCAGGTTGTAATGATTGAACAACTCCTTTAGGTGATTTGTAATAGATGTTTGTCAGTAATATGTCCCTTTTAATGATGAATCGGCGATGAATGTCGAAATTGCAGACCTGTTACCTGACATTGGTTTTCAATAGACGCCCACCCCCGAATTTAATCAGCTCGATTTCAGGTGGACCACATTAGGACGATTGGCTTTCAAAATGGATGTTGTCGCAAAATAGCGAAGTGTCGTAATTCATTCAACTTCGTTATTTTACGTTTGTCTGCGACATGATGCGCTAACCTATTAATTATATATGCACACAAACCTTTACGGGTCAAATAAACTGACCTAGTAAACGAGGCTGTAAATTATTCACTCGAATAATATCGATGATGGAAGATTTCAACTAATTTTTTCTCAAAATCCAATTTATTATCACCATCCAATTTATGATTCATAATCGTAAACCGACCTTTCATACCAAATCATATATACACCCGACGACTAGCAACACTTACAATTAATTAATACAGGGACACTTTTTGTTCATAATTTAATTAATTTGAGTTGAACAAAAGAAATGAACACAATCAACATTTAAGTAATTATTGTGGCGTTATGTGATTGGGCCGTCCTGTCCTTATTGAATTCAGCTAATTCATAAAATGATGTATAATTTCTTTTTCAACCACCACGGTTTCAATGATGGCACTGATTCCAATTATAGTCAACAAATTTAAAAATACTACGTTGAGACCCTGAGTGAACAATTATGTGTATTAAAACTATGTTCATAAAACCTGTCGTTTTCCAGAAAAGAAACACGTTCCAGTAACCCACAATAACAAATATATTATTCATTGTTGATTGGCACTCCGATGAAAAGTTACATACAATAGTTATTCCACAAACAACGTCGTGCGATTCAAACAGATGTCATGAAAAAATAGGAATAAGAGTAGTTTTCATTCATATACAAAGTGCACCTCTACATGATAGTCACTTGTAGTGTAATAGTTTCATTTATCAAAATATTGTATCGTGGCATTCTCGGAATTAAACAAACAATCGGGGAATTCTTCTAGATAAAAATCTGTTTTTAATCATGATGAAAATTTTCTATAAATCACATTGACACGGAGTGCACATCGACGGGCTGATCGAAGCATGCACAATTAACTCGCTGTGACAGACTAGTCATCGTCCGTGTCCAACTATGTGACATCGCATGATCGTCCTTGACTTTTCTGAAATTTTCTTGAGAAACTAGATACTTTATCACCATTAAGTAACAGATTCCCTGACAAACCTATTAGTCGCAATTTAAAACATTAAGAAATCACCCACACAATGAATGATTTCAAATTAGTGCCAAGCATTGCTTTACGTTGTACCATTACGTAATACGCGTATGCAATGTTTCTATTCTAGTTAATCAGCGTTAGAAGTAATTACCATTTTTTTAAATAAATGGTGTAACTTTAGACAAGGTCGAAAAAACCTCAAGAATTGCGTCAAAAAATATTATTTTTAGCCTGTATATGATAATTATACGTCATAAGACGTTTTTTTCTGCTTCTAGAATCCCCAATGTGAACTTAAGAATATCTGCGTATATATAAATACACGCCTGATTGCAAAATGTACGTCGATAGTTAGTTGACACCTGCTTTAAGTAGGTGGATTAATTCAGTTCTCCGTGGAATTGTAAAAATATATTAAAAGTCAGTATCATGCCGAGTTCAACATGATTCGTTAATATAAGCTGTTCACAATTTGAATTCTGGTCGTTGTTCATTGAATAAAACTTTGAAAGATAAAGGTGAATTGGCAGTCCGTATGTGTCTCGTATACAAGTGAAGATGGAATGCCAAACTAGCGTTGAGCCTCGCGCCGATTAGTATCGCTCTTTGTCATGCGACGTTGAATGATTACGAACTCCTGTGATAGAGTTTATTCATTGTACCCATTCAAATAAGCGCATAATGCGTTCATCTACTAGTTAACTCCTGGTTACTGGTTCACAGAAAAGTGCCACGGTCATTACGTATCGCCAAAGTTGTCACTGTCACGCATCTCCACCTTCGTCACGCAGCGCCACAGTCACGATCGCCACAGAGCACCACGGTTTTCACTCAGCGCCACTGTCCGACACCGCCACGCAGCGCCACTGTCCGACACCGCCACGCAGCGCCACTGTTCGCCACAGAGCGCCACAGTCTTCACGCACACAATTTCTTGTCATTTATCTTTTATAGACACAACACGTTCACATGCGCGCTTATACGCGGTTGTTATGCATGTTATCGCAAGTAACATCTCACAATTTGTAAAAACGCGCACTCTTATGCTTCGCGCGAGCATTCAAGTATAGTTTTATTTATCTATTTTATAACGTCATTGATTGAAGCAGTTAAGCCATCGAGTTAATAGTGTAACCACGTTATTGCCAATTTAAAGGGCGTCGGTTGTCGCAGCGCATGTTCGAATTTCGTGGAACCAAAGATTACTCGCGTTTTTCACATTGCTAAAGGTGCGGTATCGAAATGACGTACACGGCGCGACGACCATCGTCTTTCAACAGTTTTAAGCGGGTCATGTACACTTACCACGTTAATCAACTGGGAGATCGTGAGTCCAAATGCCACGGTTAGAACTTCAGATACGTTTCGTACTGGTCTCACCAGCTTATTGTATCCAATGAACAGCTGTGTGAATAACCGCTCCTCGGCTTCCGCTGCCAGGCACACTAGAGAGCAAAGGATGAAGTGACAATTAATAAACATTTCATGGGCTCCCCGCGAGTGTCATAAACATTACAGTATTTATATCGCCCAAACACGTAACAAAATTTCTACTATTGTATTGCTTGTAAATCTGAGAGAGCACAATGAGTTTACACTTATATGACTCATCCCGTTATTGTCTAGTGGGGAATGCTATATAAAGACGTAACGCCGAATTGTCCGAAACGTTTTATACAATGTCAACATTCTTTATTGAAAACAGTATTTATACATCATTGACATATAAAAAATATGAGCCATTTAAATATCGGCAAATTTCAATTATTAGAGTTAGAAGTATTTTGTAAAAGGGGCTTAAATTTGCAGTTCGACATTTTGAAAATAGACGAGGACTTTGGTGTAGTTAATGGAATCATATAATATTTCCTATGATGTCCCATTAGCCTTTTGAACGCCCTCGTTTTTACTGTCAAACTTTTATCGCTACATTTTTACATATCTCTAATAAATTCTTTGCAATTTGAACCAAAGAAATTTTGACGAAATATGGAAAATAACAATGCATATTGGCTAAGTTTATGACATCTAGAGAATTTTTATTTATTTATTTATTTATTTATTTATTTATTTATTTATTTATTTATTTATTTATTTATTTATTTATTTATTTATTTATTTATTTATTTATTTATTTATTTATTTATTTACAATAACAAAAACGTCTATGACGTCGGAAACACGTGCACGTCTATCGGTATAGATTGTCAGCTCGTCGCGGGATAAACGTATTGTTATGCAAATTGGAATTCCAATAACTAATGGGAGGTAATTGTAAAGTGTTACTGTTATAAAATATAATAAATAAGAATCACGTGTTAGAATACACCCTAGATAATTATACTGAGTTGCGGAAACCTTGATTCGGGGACTTATCGACCTTCACGTCGATGACGTTCAACAAACAATTCGTCTGGGGAGTACGTGTTTAAATGTAGAAATATTAACGATATTGCTGAAAGGGTCGTGTCTGTCTGAGTCTTTCTCTTTAGTCATATACTGCAAAGAATAAATTGTTTTTATGGTGCGTTTTAGAAAAAAACGAGCAGCTACTGCCATTGTCAGTTTATATGTGGGTTTCCTTGACTTGTCATTAAACAACTGTTGGATCAAGACAATTGTGATTTTTCAATCGCAGTCGGACAAAAACACCAACGCAACTTAATTAACAAACAATAACGTGAACGTTAAACAAAGGGATCCTGCAGGTAGGCCAGACTCTCTGGTTCTCACCACAAGGGGTTATGATGCCCCCTACCCATCCCTAAGCAGAAATAAAACACACTACAATGTATAAAAACTACGTGGACCATACTACGGGTAAATAACTGACTACAAGGAAACGTGTTGTTATAAGGTCTTTAATTAAAAGTAAGTAGGATCATAAGATCAACGTGGCAGCATGTAAATGTGTGTACCATCCTACGTAGCGTACTTGATGCTCGGTGCCAGACTCACCGTGGAGATCGTAACCAGATGTTCCGCAAAGCGGGAGTGAAAACCGATTATATACAGATATTGAGTGCTTCTCCATCTCGATTGCATAGTGCACCCCCAACAGCCCAAATGTTATCAAACACATGTAACCGATTAGTTAAACGGCAGTACTCAAACTCCAAGTTAAGCCTGGAAAGCGTACGATGTTTAAAAATCTCCAGTGGATCAGTAGTTCCCATGTCTTGACGCTTATTCCTGGGACTGAGATAAATTGACATCTTTGCCGTGGCAACAATGTAAATGAACAGTTGATAAGCTTGTTTAGAAATAAAGGCACGTGACTTAGAAGGTGGTAACATAACAAACAAACCACCATAGATGAATGGCTGAATCAGGCAATGTGAGGCGACCAGCAATAGTCCTGATGTGGCAAAAATAATTCCATGAAAATGTATCTCGTTTAGTGATATTAGGATCTTTTTGGGGGCATTTCTGTTGCATCAAAAACAAGGCTCTGTCATTTTGATGTCGTATTTCGTAAAGTTGAATTACAAAAGTGTTGGCCTTTGAAAATGAAAATAAATTAAACAAATAAATAACAGTATATTGTTCCCTCGCCACTGCTACATGTTCTAATTATGGTGTGAAGCCTAAAGTCTTACTAATATATGGTGCTAGCCAGCGCACTAAAATTGATTAATGATTTTTATTAATTGTACACAACACACTTTTAATTACCCTAATTGTACTTGTTAGTAGCAAAACATGTTCGATAATTAACTTTTTCAGTCGATGTTGAGAATTTCCATCTTTAGCAAACACTGTAGGGTTGCCTTGTCTGAAAAATCCGATTTCATCTGTTCCAATAAATCATAGCATGACGTAATGTAAGCCACTTTATTTTCAGGCAATCAAGTACAACAATTCGAGTCCAATTGATCGGCACCATGCATTGAAGGAACAAGGACTTCTAATGAACCAAAATTAAATCAAATGACTTCGACACAATTTTCTTTGAAATTCCCTTAATTGTCTTTGAAAAACTCGAATGCAGGTCAGATCAAACTATATTCACTTTAGTGGAGTTGTACAATGTGTATAATATCTTGTGATCTGCTAAATGTCCCTGAATTCGCAGCAACTGTGATTCTGTTCCGTTTCTTTCATCGAACTTGTCTGTGAAACGTTACTGATGTCAACGTTGTTACAAAACTCTACGATGTGGCGGTCACTTGAAGCAAGAAATACGTCGGTTTAGTGACGAGGGCACATCAGACATGGTGATTTCAATTAAATATATTGTATGGCGAGATTTAAAAGAATAAATATCGAATTATGAAACAACAATTGCGTCGCGTCAAATTAACGATATGCGTATAATTACGCGAAATAAGCAGACACTCTGTCTGTCGGCTTTCATTTTTGTTACATATTATAATTATATGTGTATTTGTATTTATATTCAAACTTAAATGAACACACTCGTATTCATATGTAGATTGTAAACGGTCACACTCGTATCTAATTTATTTTGTAAACGAACACACTGGTATTCATATGTAGATCGTAAATGTACATTCTAATATTCAAATGTAGTTTGTAAACGGGCACACTCGCATTCATATGTAAATTGTAAACGGTCACACTCGTA